TTGTATAACAATAAAAAAAGTAAAAAAAGATAAATAATCAAAAAGAAATATAAAATTCTGGATCAGCCCGAATCTGGAATCCGGACAATAACCATGAAAAATAGTACGAAAGTATAAATAAGAACTGGGGAATAAACTGGCATACGGCATATACTGGCATATGGCATACAGTGGCATACGGCACACACTGGCATATGGCTAAGCCTTCGCATGGGCCTGGGCTACCTATGGATACCCGTGGGTAGTACCATAAGGGCTGGGCTAAGGTACTAATTTTTAAGCCCTAGGGTAAGGGTAAGGGCCTAAAAATAAAACCCTTACACAAATGGGCAAGGCTAAGGTATAGCTCTACTCTATCCTTGCTTTAATGGATACTCATTAAGCATGTATTATTTTTTTTACCATATGTATACGTATACTTTTCAACTATCCAAAGATTAGCTTTCACATACTCAAATATACCATACATGCATATATTTTACATTTCATTGTTTTTTTATATATTGTCTCAATGCAGTCATAATGTGTTTTTTTAAAATATATGCAAACTCCTAATTTGTAATGTGAATAAACTCTATCTTCAAGTGGCTAAATTTCAAAACAATATACTCAAATAATTTGAAATTAGAGATGTGTGAATACAAGTTTTTGGCTTTGCATTATATAATGCAATATAATGTAGCATGTATGCATTATGCAATTCAGATCTCTTGCAATATAGGTGACACCTACTCTAAATCAATTGATTAATAATACTTTTTATTAATAGTGTCACCTATACTGCAAGAGATCCTGCAATTCTGTATCTTGACAGAGAATCTCTAATTTCTCTTATATGCATATCAGTTCTGATTTGGTATGTGTAAATGCTATCACTAATTAAAATGTATTAGTACATGTTTAGTAGGCTTTACAGCTTCTGTTAGTTGTGAAAGGAATTCATATTTGAAGATTAGGCTTTATAGCTATGATTGCAATGCAAGAACCGATTTTCACATTAATAATTTTGACACCTACTATTTGACATATATTACATGACTTCACAGACATGCATGTTAATGAAATCAGCATCTATGCATATAGCAATCCAGGTCACTCCATATCTGGAACAATCTAGTTTATAAGAATACCTTTGGCTGCAGGCTATTATATAATTTTTAAAATTCTAACCTACTTTAATTTTAAATTAGAGTATGATCTGGATTGCTCCAAAGTATGTTATTCTATTAAAAACCCTAATTGCTATTGAGATTTACTTCATGTTTATTCATACTTTATATAAATAGTATCTTTCTTTTTTTACATATATGCATAGAGCTAAAAATCTAAACATCTATACAGAATTATGTCTGTATAAAAATAATATGCCAAGAATAAAATGTTGGGGTGGTCTGCTATTAAAGTAAATCAAAACTATATCAATATGTGGTCATTAATATTTAAATATACTGATTTTTCTTTTTGAACTTATAATTTAAGGCCAATACTGATACATTTAAATAAATAAATAATTATTACAATTGCATATAATGAAACTGAAATAAGCTATACTGTTATACAAATTTAGCTTCAATTTTTTGTTTTTCTGTATCAGTTCGGAATAAGATAAATTTGTCATTATAGTGGCTTATTTAGTATTAACTTCTTTAAATATTTTAATGCAGAGATAAAGGATTCTTAAAATAAACCAAAATTATTATACTATTCATGTATATACTAAAACTTTACAGAAATAAGCTTTGAGAACATTTATTTCAATGAATTATTCTATATCAAAGTTTTAAGTTTCTTTGTCATTAACATATTTCTTGTATTATGCAATAAATATAAATAGACCTTAAAAATTTATGAGTTTTAAAAACTATGAATCACTATCTTTCTTTTTTGTTAGTTTGACCATCATAAATCCTCTAATAAAACAAATTAACAAGCCAACTAAAACCTACTAACAAATCTATTAATAACCTAACGAATCTATTAATGACCTAACAAATTCATTAATAACTAATGAATCTACTAACAAAACCCACTAACCAATATATAAAAAAAACTCCAAGCACCAACTATTATCATATTGCAATTTTTTTTAAAAAAAAACTCTATTGAAGCGTTTTAATAAATTGCTTTTTTGAAGATCTTAATCATTTATTGAAACAATAAAGTTCTACTATAAAAAAAGTATATAATATAGATAGTCACGAAAATGTTGAAGACAACATAATAGATCATGAATATGATGAAGACAATATAATAGATTACGAATATAATAACAATATCATAGAATATGAACATGAAGAAAACAATACTATAGATCCTGATGATTCTGCTTCTATATTAGTTAGATCAGAGATATCAGAATCAAATACCACTGATCCAACCAATTTACAAAGATATAAATCATCTGTCTGGAACTGTTTTACTTTATTAGCAAGCGAACAAAAGGCTTCATGTAATTATTGTATGAACAAACTTAGTCATAAAAAAGGCAATAGAACATCTTACCATAAATGTCATCTCAATTCATGCAGAAGGTACCAAAAAACAACATCTAATTGTAATCTATCAAAACTACCAAAAGGTCAAACAAATTTGAAAATTAGTTCATATATTAAGTGACCTTCAAAAGACTCAAACTGCAAAAACATAATTGATATGATAATTAGAGATGAACTAAGTTTTCAGTTTGTAAAAAAAGAAGGATTTCGAAAATTTCTTGATAGGATATTGCCTAGCTTTTCTATTAGTGCTGATATAGTAAAGAGAGATATTATGCAAGTCTATGATAAAAGAAAAAAGTTTATTAAAAAAATTCTTCAAAATGTAGATAGTAAAGTTTTTTAATTTAGATATTTGGATATTGCTTCAGCAACTTGGATATTTAGCTATCACCACACATTTTATTGATAAAAACTAAAACCTTGTCTTTATCTTATTGTTATTTAAATTGATTCCCTTTCTGTATTCTGAAATTTAATATTGCTAATTGCATTAGAGTTAAAACAGATGAGTACTTAATTACTAAAAAGATATAAAATATATTAGAAATTATTAAACATATATTCAAAGTTGACAATAAAAATTAAGATTTTATTTATTATATTAATATTTTTTTATACATATTATAGCTGCAAACTGTTACCCTTGATAATGCAAGTTCAAATAATATTACAATTCATAAATTAGTTGATTATATTTCTCAGCTTACTATCATTGATAAAGAACTTTTTCATAATCGCTGTTTTGCACATATCTTAAATCTTATTGTGAAAGATAAATTAAAAAAAATTTAAAAGCAATCAGTAAGGTAATTATATAAGAGTTTTGAATTAGATTCAACTTTCAGATTTAAATCTGATTTTTCTTAGATTCGATTTATTGCACTTTTCAAATTACTGTATCAACTGATTTTCATACATCATACTGGCAATCAGAAATTTAGAATAAATGCAAGCTTGTGATTGGTTAAAAATAATTTTTAGCCAATTACGTATTGGCATTTTTTCTAGATTTCTGATTCCCAATGTGATGTATGAAAATCAGTAGACACAGTAATTTGAAAGGCATGATAAATTCAGATAAAACTAAATTTATCAAATATGCAATATTCATATTGTCTGTACAAATGTATAGGGTACAAAAGCATTCACTATGCATAGAATTTTTACAACTATAAAATAGTTTTATTTGTAAATAATCAAATATTTTTTACTAAGTATATATTCATATGTATATATAATAATGCTACTATTAACGTAGGCTAGAGTTGCTTGCTGCAAAGACACAACTTAATTTTTACAGCTTATTTATGCTATAATTATTACAAGATAAGTCATAAATACTATATTAATGATGTTATATTCTATTGCGACAATAGGTTGCAACTCTAGTTATACTATAAAAAAGTCGCATTTAATATTTGCAGCAAACAACACTAACGTAGACACAACTGAATATTGGATTAAAATCTGATGCATATTTTTTATTAATTAAATAAATTCTGTATCAAAAAATAAAACCTAGTTCCAAACTCTAAATTTTATATTATTTGACTTCTATTTGATAAATTTTTAACATTTAATTTTTTTAGATTCGTAACTGTATTAAAGCAATTCATTTAACTCCAAGCCGTCATCAAATATATTTAGATATTTGTAAATATGAATCTGAAAGTTCTATAATTTCACCATTAGATTGTAATACTCAATGGAATTTCACCTTTATAATATTATAATCAGCGGCAAAAATGAAAAATGTAATTATTAGAATGGGAGATAATATTATAATCAGCGGCAAAAATAAAAAATGTAATTATTAGAACGGGAGATCGTGATTGAACTTTTCCTGAAATTCTTGAGGAAAATGAATAGACCAAGGCAGATAATATTTGTACTATATTAAAACCATTTTATGATTGTATGTTACTTATTTTTTAAAAAATTACTTTAACTTTATTAATAAATTCACTATTTCGAATTGCAGTTTAATTTTGCTTTAAAAATTACAATTACAGTTTCTTATTATTATTATATTTTTAATAAATAGGTACTCTAAAAGTGTCAGAAAATACTTATCCAACTCTCAACAATAGCTTCACTTCTATTTTAAATATTTGTACTCATCTTCTTAATATGAAAAATCATACTGATAGCTTTATCCGTGATATTTCTAAGCCTATGATAGAAAAGTTCAATAAATATTAAGAGGATAACAACTTTTTATATATTATTGCATGCATTCTTAACCCTTGCTATAAATTACAATTTATTTCATTTTTTTATTGTGAAAAGGAAAAATTAGATTTGAATAATCTTAATGAAAAAATGCAAAATATTAAAAAAAAGTATATATTTTTTAATTTAATTATTTATAACTTTCTACTACTAATATTGTTTATAATTATAAAAATCAGGTTTGAAAATATCTATCTTCAAAATTACTATTCTACATCCACTACAGAACATTCAACTAGTCATAAAACTATTAGTACAAATGATACATCAATGTTTGAGAATCATATTAATGATTTTTTTGAATATACAATTAAAAGTTCTCAAGCTAATGAATATAATACACTTTATGAAGTTAATCAATATTTAGATGAACAAATTGGAAATAAAACTACTAATGTTCTTGAATAGTAGAAAATTATTAAAGATCATTTTTCAACTTTGTTAGCAATGGCTTGAAACTTTTTAGCAATACCATCAACCAGCATTGCATCTGAACAAATGTTTAGCTGTGCAGGACGTATTATTGATGACAATCGTGCTTTATTGGACCCAGACATAGTAAAAGCATTAATGTGTCAGCAGAATTGGTTAGAAGCAGCAACAAAGTTTGAATAGGATTTATAATCTAGTAAAATGTAAGAATTTATATTTATAACATAAACTTGCTTTTATACACTTATAATTATTCAATAGCACTAATTAAATAACATTTATTATATTTTTTTTACTATTAAAATTTTTTATTTAGAGTTAGATTTAGAATGTTCATACAATATCATTCCTTTTTTTAGCAGAATTAAATCATACAATTTTCTTTTTTTCTATTTTTTTGATTTTGATTAAAATTTTTTATATATGTTGTAAGTGGGAATGGAACCATAATTGAATTCGGAATCTACTTAGATTAGTACAGAATAATTATACTAAAAATTCCAACCTTAAAAATTCCAAATCAATTTAAATTCTATTCCTACCTACAATATATATACTAAGCAAATTATGTCTATAATATTTAATTTGAAGTAATGCTTAATATTAAATAGGATATTAAATGAACTGTGTATAATGCACCTATCTCTTACTTGCAATAAGCTTTCTTTGCTTCAGCAGATTATTAGTAATAGCTGAATAATGCATTTTTATGTAATTAAAAAAAA